GTAGCTCTCTCCTTTGGAAAAGTGCAAATTTGGCTGTTTTTTTTTTTTATTAAGTGTCTATCTCCTTCAACTTCATAAAGCACCTTAATTTTATTTTTTTTCTGATGTTTTCAAAAACTCTGCAGGAAGAAAGAGTCCCTGCAGGGGTGGTAAGAAGACAGAAGGATGCAGTAATGTTAGGGCTGAGAGAGGGTACACTGCTCCCTGTTGTCCACCTTGCCAGGAAGGCAGGCCCTGGCACGACCCCTCACTGCCTCTCTTCTCTTGTTCAGTACGTGTTCGACTACCAGGACAGGGACATCTTTGGCTGTGTGGCAGACATTGGCTGGATCACGGGGCATACCTATGTGGTCTACGGCCCCCTCTGCAATGGTGGCACCACAGTCCTTTTTGAGAGCACTCCTGTCCATCCTAACCCTGGTGAGTGAGGTGTCTCAGGGGAGCTGGGATATTCCACAGCACCCTGCAACACCTGCAGGCAGCCTGATGCCAGGACACATGCAGCAATGGCTCTGCTGCCTCAGGAGCAGACTGCAGGCTGTGCCCAGTAGAGAGCTACAAGGGGAAGAGTCTTTTCCTCTGCTTAGGAAGCCACTGCTGCTTCTCCAGGGGTGGAGCTGTTACTCCCTGCCCCTCCCTGCAGCAGGGAGAGTGGCAGAGCTATGTGATGTGGAGGAAAAGGGCCTGCTGCTGCTCCTGAACAGCTTCTGTCCTTCCCATCATGGGATTAACTTGGCTGAGGGTCCTGGCACTGCTAGAGAGCCTTTGTTCTCACCTCTTCCATCTTTATCTTGGTGTTGGGCTGGGAGGACCTGTGTGGATGCTCACTGGCCCTGTTTCCATTCCAGGCCGCTACTGGGAAACAGTAGAGAGGTTAAGAATTAACCAGTTCTATGGGGCGCCCACTGCCATCCGCCTGCTCCTGCGATACGGTGATGAATGGGTGAAGAAGTATGACCGCTCTTCTCTCAAAGTGCTTGGCTCAGGTAAGTGCAGCAGCGTGGGCTGGAGCAGCAAATCCTTGCGCATCAGATTCTGCCTCTTCCCACAAATGCCAAGAATGGCAGCAACATGAGATCCCAAAGTCAGGACACTACACTATTTGGGGGTGGCTCCACAAGCAGATCATGGGAAGCTGTGTCCTGAACCTGATTTTTCTGCTCTGCTCCCTTGTCTTTCCCCTTGCAGTGGGGGAACCCATCAACAAGGAGGCGTGGGAATGGTACTTCCGTGTGGTTGGTGAGACACGATGCCCAGTAGTGGACACATGGTGGCAAACTGGTGAGATGCATATGACTCCCTATTCCAGCTTCTGCTCTCCCAGGCTTTAGAAGTGACCTGCTGCTTTGTTGGCCAAGTGACAATGGTTGTTACTGACACTCTTGTATGAGCGAGGCTGTAAGGGCCCAGGAGCACCTAAACATTAAAGAGAAAAATGGCCTTTAAAGCTAACCTAGACAAACACGGGGGATTTGATGGCACATCTCGGCAGATTCCTGCTGAACTAAATGAGCACATCATCCATCTGCAAAGAGCCTTCCCCAGCTCTCTGGCAAACCCAGCCACAGCCTGCGCCATGGGCCAAGATAAAGGCTGCTAGCCAAGCAGTGCTACTTGGCTTTCTTCTTGTTCCCAACTTTGATGAGCATTACGGTTTCTTTTTCTTCAGAAACAGGAGGCATCTGTATCTCACCCCGTCCTTCTAATCCCGGAGCAGAAATCCTTCCAGGCATGGCTATGAGACCCTTTTTTGGGATCAGCCCCACCCTCTTAGATAACAAGGTATTTTTATAACCTGCAGTCCAGGCACTGGCTCAGCCCACTTTCCCCCAGACACTTGCAGAATGTACTTCCTGATGGGAGTGGAGAGCTGTAAACACGTCTTTCCTGCTCACCTCTGCTGGACAGCAACCTTCTTACTGGAAAGGGACAAACAGTGAAGCTGTCCTTCCAACTAGTGCAGAAGTTGAACTGTTTTCTAGTTTGCGCTGTCCTGACAAGACAGGCTGTGCTTGGGCTCCCTGGCACATCTTTCCAAGGTGAGGTAGCTAGGCAGGAACATCCCTGGAGGGGCCCTGCATCCCACCACAGTAGGCAGTTTGGGGCTGGGAGAGACTAAGCTTGTCCTGTTGGAGTGGGGAGCAAAGGACCCTCCTCTCTGCCTTCCCTGACATTTCCATCACAGGGTTGTTAAAACAGGCAATAACTAAACATCCCAAGTACCCTCAGCCATGGTTACTAAAAAGTAACTATTTTATAGGGAAATGTTCTTCTAGAAAACAACATCTCTGGAGCCCTTTGCATCTCACAAGCCTGGCCAGGTATGGCACGAACCATTTACAATGACCACAAGAGATTTCTGGAAACCTATCTGACTCCTTATCCAGGTAAGGAAAACAAGTGGCAGGGCACTGAAGACATGTTCGGTTGGGTATGATTGTGTCTGCCTGCTGGCTTTCTGAATGGAGGCAGGACTCAGGAGAGCTGGTACAGCTGCTTTGTTCTTCCATAGACCCTCCTCAGTGTTGAGGCCCTTCATTTCCCCAGACCTGTTACCACAGCATTGCCCTGGGAATGGGTCTCTCTCACCAACCTTCCCCATTGTATCACACATTGTCTTAAGGCAGTGGATTTGTCTTTCTGCTCCCAATCCCCTTGAGCACAGACAGACCTCTTGGTGCATCTCTTGCAAATCCTGTCAGCTTCTATCACTCACCCCAAGGCACTGAGCAAGCCCCAGAGTGTGTGTGTTTTGATGTGAAGCTAAGAGTTGAAGCAGCAAGACCACAGGCACCTGCACTGAAGTGTTCCCAGCATGAGGTGATGAGATAGGCTGGGCATTAGCCAGTGCACTGCAGAATGAGGGAAGGAGCCTGATGATAGATCAGGCACCAAGAGGCAGAAGACTAACAAGGAAGGTAGGCACCTTCACCCTGAGCAGTTGAGGAAGGCACAGAGTACATGAGCCCTGGTGCCAACAGAGAGGAAAACGGGGCAAGGTGAGAACCCAGCTGGTGAGCAGCTCACATGCTCACTGCAACAAGTGACCATGGTGTGGTTCTGGCAGGTTTTTTCTTCACTGGGGACGGTGCGTATCGTACCAGGAAGGGCTACTACCAGCTAACAGGACGGCTGGATGACATAATTAACATCAGTGGACACCGGCTGGGCACTGCAGAGGTGGAGGACGTTGTGGTAAGAGGTATGGGTGGGAGGTAAAGCCATCCAAGGAAACAGCAAAGGCACACTGGTAGTGCTCAGGGAGGTCTCTCTTAAACGCCGCACAGAAATATGCTGCTGCTATAGCAGCAGGGAACAGTGTTGGACCCACAGCCTGCCTGTGGGAACAGCTTCCCACCCTTTCCTCTCTCATTCTGGCTCTCTACAGCAAGGGAGAGACAAAGCCTGGTAAGGTTGATGCTCCAAGTGGGTGAATCCCAAAGCAGCAGCCAGACATGTTAAGGAGGAGCATCTTTGGGCCAGTGAAGATTGTGGGATCTGATGGAGCAACCTATAGGCACAGAACAGGGCCTACAAGGTGCAAGCCCAAAGCAACCAGGGACAGGGTGAAAAGACTTGTGTTTGCAGACCTACTGAGGCAAGAAGGAAAAAGGGCAGAGGCCACCTGAGGCCCTTCCTTATCTCTCTGCTTTACGGTGGGCTGCAGCAGCCAAGTCAGCTCAGGGCAGCTCCCAGGTGGCAGCCAGCCTGCTGAAAGCACCGAGCCAAACCCCAGCCCTGTTCTCTTCCAGAATTATCATGTGGCAGTGGCAGAGTCTGCCGTCATTGGCTACCCACATGAGATCAAGGGAGAAGGTAAGATGCTTCATTTCCTGCCCCTGAAACATCTCTCCTGGGGCTAAGGGACTGCAGTGGGAAGTGACACTGGTAGCAATGCTGTGTCCACACACACAGCATGTTAGCAAGGATCTCAGCACAGCCATCACAACTGCACAAGACCAGCTAGGCTTTGCATAAGGTGACAGCAGCAGCACCATGGTCAAAAGCACTCTCAGCTTTGGCTACAGAGCATCCCCAGAGGCTTCCAGCAGAGAAGTTCTCTCCTGGCACTAAGTCCAGGCAGGCCCTCAGGAGCATGGTGTGCACAGTGCTCAGTAACCTCAGGTCTTTCTGCCAGGAGCCTACGTGTTCGTTGTGCTGAAGAAGGACAGTGGCTACACACAGGAGACTCTTGCTGCTGAGCTACAGGAGCTCATCTCCAAGAAGATCGCTAAGTACGCAGCTCCAGATTATGTTCAGGTAACACATGCAGGCTGCTCCAGCACCCTGGCAGCTTGGCCAACCCCTTTACCTCAGCCTTAATTCTGCTCCTCCCCATCACAGGTCACACACCGGCTGCCCAAGACACGCTCGGGTAAGATTATGCGTCGAGTGCTACGGAAAATCGTGGAGGACAAGGCCAGTGAGCTTGGGGACCTAACCACACTGGATGACCATGAAGCCGTGCAGCAGATCATAGAGGGACACAAGCACCTTGTGGAGGGGCAGAAGAGCTACTAGCTTGGCTCTACCAGCAGCCACCTCCTCCACCTTCACTGCAAAACTAGGGAAACATCCAGAATTTCCACTAAGCAAGTGGTGGCCAGTAAGTTGCTCAGAGACCACACCTCCACTGCATTCTCAGAGTGACCTCTTCACAACACAGAGACCCTCAAAACCTGTCTCCACACACATATGTGAGGCAGGTGAGAGAACATGACTCATCACAGGCAGAACAGTAAGGAGAGACAAGCTATGTTTCCTACCCTAAAGGGAGAGGGCCAAAAGCCCTCCTTAGGGTTCCTTGTGCCTTGCAGTAGCTGTGGAGATAGCAGCAGGGCAGGACTGCTAGTGCTGGATAGGTATATTACTCCTACCCCTGTTGTGCTCTTCAGCCAGTCTAGTCCAGGACCATACAAGCATCTCCTCCAAAGCAAACCCCAGAAAGAAAACATCCAGCAGTCCAGTTAACAAATATTGACTCTTCTCCATAAAAATAATTTGAAAACAGGCCCCATATTTTAATAAAAAAATGTTCCTTTTACATATAGCTATGTGTCATAAGGAGAGCAGACGCACCCCTTCTCTGTGCTAGCATTCTCCTCCCCTTACAATGCTCCTCTTGGGGAACACAACCCTCAATAGAGCCACAAAGTACAGAAATCTGTTCTGCAGAGCTGTGTATGAAAGACAGAGCTCCCAGAAAGGCACAGAGGGCAGAAAAGGAGGCTGCATCCTAGCCTTGCACCACTGCATCCTGGACAAAGTGGAGGTTCCTCTGGCTCTTGTTTCTACAAGGCCCACGAGGCAGCATCTTCTCTTTGGGCAGCCTAGCAGCTCACCCCTTTCCTGCATGAGAGCCAGGGAGGCAAAAGGAGGCCAGGAGAAGGATGGCATAGCTGTCTGCTCCTGACAGAACCCCACACTATGAGTTCTGACATGCTCTGTGTCCATCAGCAAAATCCAGAATTGGCCTTCCACTGTTTGAATCATATGTTGACAGTTGCTGGCTTGGCAGCTCCATGTCTGCTATTGAGAGCTCTCCCAGATGTGCAGGTTCTGCGTCTGGCCAGACAAGGGCATGTTTTTCAGTGTCCTTCCCCAGCAGGGAGCCGCTTCATCTTCTCGCATCGAGTGAGCTCCCATCTTCCCTCCCCATGAAGTTTCAAAATCCAGCTGTGGAACTGTAATTCAATAACACAATGTTGAAGGATGTCTCTACAAGGGCATGTCCTCCCACAGTGACATACTCCAGCCTTAGTCACTCCCTTCTGCTCGGCAGAGACCCTCTCTACCTCCTCTGTCTTGCCACCACCAGAGAGGCATGGAATGCTGTCTCCCTGCCTCACCTTTTCCAGGCTGGGTCTGTGTCCCACGCTGATCAGCGTCATGCCCAGCTGAAGGCACAGACGATACAGTTCATGCTCCACCTCTTCTGTCAAGGCACTGGTGGCTTCATCTAGCACTAAAAGAAAAGTCGTAAACCCCACAAATCCTCTCCCAGCCAGACATCTCCCCTAGGCAAAAGAGCAGCAACTGCCGAGAACATTTCACTTATTAACTGGAGTTCACCAAGAGCATCTAAAGAAGGCAAGGAGGAAAAGCCTAAGGACTCTGGTATTCCTCTAGCACAGCTGGTGTCAGTCAATTGGGAAAGCTGTCCTTCCCCTCAAGTCCTTGAATCCATCCAAACTGCACTGTTCCCCTCATTCCTCTCCCTCAACAGCTGCCAGCCACTGCCTCGTCCCCCCCAGTGAGAAAGCCGAGACATGGCCTTCTCAAGACAAGCCACGTGCCACAGCACCAAGCTGAGCAGCAGCCAGTGCACCCTTCCAGCACACCACATGTGGAGCTACTAGGATGGCCTGCAGCACCCTCCTGACTGTTAAGGGTAAATACTACAGATCTGGAGCAGAAAAATTCAATTTGTTTTACACCATCTCTACAGTTTTTAGTTTGCAATCCACAGGTTCCTTTCACCCAGACAGCACCGAGCTGTGATGCAGGCTTCAGGGGAAAGAGAGGTACTTACCTGTGGCTGCTTGCTACTGACACTGGCTCTGTTCACCCACATCCACCCTGGCCCTCATGGCAAGTCCTCCAACAGCCCACCCAGCAGAGACTAAGGAATTGGCCCCATCAGCTAATCACGGATGTTTCTGTGATCTCTCAGGACTGTTTCTCCACTGGTCCTCGTCTTCTTTTGCCATGTCATGGCTAAATTTCCCATATTGCTTCCACAACCCTACAGATGTTTGTGAGCTTCAGATATGGCAGCTGCCACCACACTCCCCAGCATAAACACTTCTTTACATAGCAACTGGTGAGAATGCCATTGGACAGGTGCCATTGGACCTGGACGAAGAACATTAATCACTAATTCCCTAAGAAGAGTATGTCTTATATACAGTTCTTGATTTACCATCCTCCACACAAATAATGAAATGTTTTCACAACTGAATCCTCTGTGTGCTATGCTGCTAAAATAATGGCCAAGGTGAAGCATGCTCCTAGCAAACAAGGGATTTCATGAGCTGTCTCTGTACCAGCTTCTCTTTACACTAGAGGCCCTGCCTTCCCCCTCTCCCCTTTTCTTTAGTAGTCAGTCACTCACCCGCATATTTTGGCTGGAGGTAGAAGAGCCGTGCAAATGAGAGTCTCTGCATCTCCCCTGGAGACAGGATGTCATACCTGCAGTAGGGTCAAGATTCAATACCTCCCACAAGAAACAGAACTTGTTTGCTGAAAATCATATGGCTTTTGATATCAGAGACACCAACAAGCAACTGTCCCTATGTCCCTTGTGCCCCTCGCCATGCTGCTTAGAAGTGTTCCCCACTCAAAAAAATCAGCCAAATTCATGCAGATAGTGAGCTCCCTTACCAGTTCCAGTCCACCTGCTCATCCAGTCCTCCAGCCCTTGCCAGCAAATCAGTCTGCAGAGAGCACAGCAGAACACAGTTGCCAACCCTGTCAGCCCATGGCTCTGAGCATAACCACCCCTTTCCTGCTAATCTCGCTTTCCCCACTTGAGCTGAAGTTGCTCTTTATCCCTCCTCCTCTTCCTGTCCCATAGACAGTCCTGCCCCAGCTACAGACAATGTCCCCACAGCACACAGTCATGCTGTGCTGCCACAAAAAAATCATCCCTTCTTCCTTCACTGGCAGCACCAGGAAAGAAGGCAGCAGCACTACCAGTGACTCACCAGCCCAGCCAGCTCCAGGAATCGCAGAATTCTTTCATCATCTGCAGACCCTGGGGAGAAAGCTGCACAGCATAAGCAAGGGCAATGTGTGCTGAAGCCACAGCTGCCCAGACGAGTCAGTGGGGCAGAAGGGAAGGATCTCCTGATATTCAGTGTAGCTGACCTGATCCCTTAATTATACCAGGTCTTGAGCTTTGGCACAGATAGCCTCGAAGACTGACCTTTCCTTAAAAATGTTAACCATGCCTGTGAGCAGCATGCCAGTAGGTAGCTGGGCTCCACAGATACACCTGACATTTGGGTCAGCCCATGGCCACAGATGGGCACAGCCAGAACACAAGGATCCAGGCTTCAATTGCCAAAGCCCTGCCTGCCAGTTTTGCTCTTACAGCTGAGACTGCACACTGCGGGTGGTGGAGTCAGGGAAACGGGGCTCAGGTAACAGCTGGCAAAAGGACGCTATGTGGGATGAGAAAAACCTCAGGGTGAATCAGCTGTGGAGCAGAACGTACATTTGAGCTGGTACAGTCAGCATCTATGGAACCTGAGTAGAAGGGCTGTGCATCTGCTATGGACCTCTATGAAGATGCTGAACAGCCTCAACAGTAGCTGATGGCTGTAGCTACTCTCAGCAAGATTGTGACTCCCAAGTGTTTGAAAGCAGCAGATAACACTGCTGGACATCTCCAAGCTACGGCAGACCTCATGTGGTCTGACTTGGGAAGAGGGCAGGGGAGAAAAAAGGATCCATGTATTCTGACCTCAAGAGAATGCAAAGCCCTGGAATATAATTTGAAAAACAGAAACAGTGAAAGATGGAGGTGAATGGAAAATGAGATGAAGGCAAACATGGCTTGCCCAAAGTCAGACTGTGCCAGACAAATCAGATGTATCCCAACAGCAACATGTATCACGTCTAGCACAGCAGCTAGCATGGCCATCTTGTTCTCATTGTACTAAGTAAATTCTTATCAAGTGAATATGCTCCCTCCCAGAAGGGAGGGTACACAGAGCTGACCTTCACATACACTAAGGTAAATCTTGTAGGGAAAAGCAGAGCAACAAAAGCAAACCAGATGAGTGTTCTTGATGGGCCGTGGCAGGGGAGAAGCTACACTGAGTACAGGACAGTGAGCTGACACCACAGGGTTGGTTAATTGCTCTAATGAATTTCCACATACCTGAAACTGGATAGATCTCCTTCAGGGGATAGATCACCTGTTTAACAAAGCAAAAGAAACCATGTTGAGGGAGCTGGACACAGTCCTTCAGATATGCAAAGGGGGTGGCATGAACTCAGGCACAAGGGAAAGAGCAGCACAGGTATCCTCCCTCTTGCAGGCCTGTCTGCACCATACAGGTTCACAGGGCATGACCACAGCTGGGAGCAGAGCTGAGGCCAGAGTAGAGACAGCCCCTGGGCTCACCTGCTCACGCAGGCTTCCGTCGGTGAAGAAGGGCCGCTGTGGTAGGAACACCACTCCCCGGGGGCCAAAGCAGGTCAGCATCTTGATGCTCCCTGCACAGAGACACACTCTGTCAAGCCTGCAGTACCAGCAACTCCCCACTGCCCCCTGTGTAGTCCTGTTCCATGAAGTAGCCAACAAATCCCCACAAAAGTGTGTTTGCAACACAGGACAAAGCAATGAGAGCCACAGAATGTGACAGATGGCTGGCTCCAATCGGTGGATCAGTGACACATTCACCATCACAAGGTGCCACTGGCCTCACAAGACCACCTTCCAAACTCAGAGTAGCCTTGGTTGAGAAAGAGAAGGCTGCAGCATGTAGCAGTCCTTACCCCGCGTGCTCTCCCAGAGTCCTCCAAGGACCCTCAGGAGAGATGTCTTCCCTGTACCAGTGTTTCCCACAATCATCACACTGTTTCCTTGTGAGATCCTGAGGCTCAAGTCCTTGATGAGCAGCTTGCCAGAGGACGGCACCGAAAGTGTCACTTGGTCCAGAAGGAAAGCTGTGTCCCTTGGCACTGGGTCCTCCCCAGAATGGCTGCTGGGCCACCACCAAGACAAAGGAGGAGAGATCTGGGGGTAAGTGACCACGCTGAGATTGTCAAAAATCAGGCACCTTAGACCTCCTGTGTCTCTGTGACAGCAGCCTTGCCCCACACACCCCAGGAATGACAAATCACAGTGAGCACTGCCTGCTCCAACCAACTGTGTGCAACAGATTCTGATACCAGGGGCCACCTCCATCCCATGGTAGCCTCACACTCTGGCACGTAAGCTGCAAGCCAGCCAGTTGTTGAGAGGAGACTCACCCGTCCAAATCCCAGCTGGTTTTGGCTTCTGAGTAGTTACCATTTTTTTTTCTGCCAAGGCTCAGCAAGGTCTCCTGCAGTTCACCAATCCTAGACAAACAAGAGGTTGCATGAATGCCATGGACAACTCCAGCAGCCTCCTCACAATATCCAAACATGCTCATGTTTGCACGCAAGCAATTTTTTCTTATTTTTTTAGCACGGACATGGGCAGAGTCTTGTCCTGCACTTCCCTTTCTCCCAGAGATGTGCTGACAGAAAAGCTCACCTGTGTGTGTAGCCAGCTACATCGGTCACAGTGCTGGAGAGATCTATGAGCTGGCTGAAGCAGCCAATGAGGTAGATGGAAACAAAAGCATTCTGGGGAGAAATCACATGCCAGAGTAAGGGTCAGTGCTGAGCTGGGGTGCTGTCCCTTACTTCAAGACTGCAAGGAAGCAGCCAAGGAGTCCACACATTTGGCCATGTCAGCTGACTTTGCAAGATCAATGAGAGGTTGTGAAGTCACCCATGGTGGTGGGAATGAAGGAGAAGATGACTACATTTGAAAGGAACAGGGCTTCCCTGCTCAGTGCAGCAGTTCTTGCCAGGTGGACACATGTCCTGCCACCCAGGGATGGTGTTTGCAGAGTGCCTGCTGGCCAGCCCAGGGTCCAGCACACTTGCCCTAAGTCACGCAGATCCATGCCACCAGCACCGTATATGGCTCAGAGCAGGGTGTTTCAGCCAGCAGTATTTACTTAGCTATTTTTAGCTCTGCATTCTCTATCAGAAGCCAGTTTTGAGTATCTGGTAACGAGTCAGGTTGAGAAGGCAAATGCAAGCCAGCTCGGCCTCGCTGGTGGCCCTGGTCACCACGGGCAGACCTGCAGCAATGAGCAGACCCCAATCCCCCCACACTGCTGAAAGCCAGAGACTTTCTGACATCGCCATTTTTTTAGACACCCAGGTCTGAGCTAGTTAACACTTATGTAGATGTGACCTTGACAGCTCTCACTCCCAGGTTAATCATATACCAGCTGGCTACAAGCTCCCATTTCCATGACACCATGGCTAGGGACAGTCTAACCTGAAAGTCAAGTGCTGCATGACTATCCAGCCCCAGGGCCACCAGCCCCACATGAAACCTCCATCCTCAGTGCCTGCTCACCATCCACAATGAAGTCTGGGATATAACCCTTAGCTCACCTTGCTGACGAGGGCACTGAGCTCTGTTGGACTCAGGTCACCGTAGACCCCAGAAAAAATGGGAATGGCAATGACCATGTAGCTCAGGATGCTACCCAGATAGTCAAAGGTGTTGATCCCAACTGGGCAGAAACACATTGAGAGAAGACAAAGAGTTAGAGTAGGAACCTCTGTCCTAGCCAGGCTCAAATGTGGCCCATGAGCCCAGCCAGACGAATACGCATGTTCTTGTCTCAGCCCTTTATGATGCACCAGAGCAGAAGAACTCATTTCACAGGACAGCACAAGCACTAGGGTGAAAATTCATTTGCCAAGCAAAGAGCACTTTGGGGCAGACTCCTGAACAGAGAAACCTCCAGACATACAGCTCAGGAACCACCATGGGGCAAAAGTCACTTTGCCTGCTTGTTTCTATGCTTCAGGGGTCTGGCTGACTCACAGTAAACAGGAGGGATTGCAGAAAGGAAGCTCTGGGTTGAGACAGTTTTCCATGAAGTGTATCTTGGAGCACACAACAGGCAGAAAAACTTAAGACCCCAAATTCCCACAGACACCTCTGTTCAGGGCTCTCCCTCCCACACATTGCTCAGAAGCTCACTATGCTTCTGAGATGAGGAAGAGCTGTCTTTATAGTGGTCATTTAAAGCCAAAACCTGGACTCATTGACAATGGGAGAAGGGAGATTTTCAGGACAACTATGCTTAAGGGACAGGCTCTATAGGAAAGAAGTTTCCACAGCTTCCAACCACATACACCATCTTCTCCTTCCCCAAAGCTTAAGCCTTTCCCTCTTTTCTTGGCCTTTGAACAACTGCCCCAGAGAAAGCTAGATTCCTGGGTTCTCCACAGCTCTGCCTCTTTATGAGGCTTAAACTCAATAGGACTCCCATTTAGCACTCCAGGAGGCACTCTCTGTTCACCCTCAGGGCTTTCATGCACCAGCAAGAGGCGGGAGAGGAAAACACAGCACCCACCCAAGTGCTCCAAGTTCCCAAGCCTGTGGGCCACCACAATGGAGCTACCACACACCCCACTTCACCCCTCAAACTCCCCACTCACTGTATAGCCACAGCTCCTTGCCTATCAGCTCTCTCTGGGTCTGCAGCAGGCTCTGCAGCCTCCGGTCCGTGCGCATGTGCTCCACTCGCCCAGCCCTGTAAAATAAGATTGCAACAGACATCCCAGGACCTGTGGGCTTTAAAACGGAGGCTTGGAACAAGTCTGGCACCATCACTTCCAAGTAACAAGCTCTTCATTGAACAGGAACTGAACAGCCAAGAGCACCTTCCTGAAGAGCATCATCAAGAAACTGGCTGAAACAAGCAGTCTTGCAAATCTCTCCCAGAGCCTGTGGATGCTGTTATTGCAAACAGGAGGAGGGTTACTGTCTGCAAGGCCCCAGCCTGGAGCAATGCACAGTCCAGGTCAAACACATTTCCCAAGCAGAGCCTGGGTGGAAGAGTGGGATGGAACCACTACACAGCTAGAGCCAGAAAGGAGAGGGCAGAGGGGAGTCCAGGAGGTGATAATAAGCCCACACAGCCTACATGGCCAGCAGCCCCAGTTCACCTCTTCCTATTTCCCACTTCACAGGAGTGGGTCAAAGACAAGTTCTGAGCAGTGCAACCCCCAGTGGGGGTGACCCCAGCCTCACAACTCCCCCTTTCCAGGGCTATCTCCATCGGGTCACCCACTACCTGATTTTACAGTGATGCTCCCGTGGCCAGGCTGAGCCAGTAGCAAGGAGACATCTCAACTGTAAAACACCACCTCCACAAGTGCGGCAGCTCCTTCTGCTGTTTTGCAAGGCCTGGGCTGCCCTCAGGTGGCAAAATGCAGAGCTCCACATCTCACTCCAGAGATATAGCCATGGCAGCTATTGCCCCTGACATCTAACACAGGCTTGTGGCCAGTACATACCCACACTCCCATCACAGTCCACGCAACAGAAGGGCCTGACTAGATAAGGCCAGAAGCTGCACAAAAACATCTAAATTAAGATTTTTTAAGTCTCATTTCTGAAGATTTTCAACTCTTAGAAAAATACATTTTCTTTCTCAAAAATGCCTCTGGCTAGAATTCAGTTTGGCTTTATTGTCCTACAACCCAGTTCAGGTAACTACTGAACTACTGACAGCAATCTTTGCTGTCCGTGTATTCAGAGAGGACAAAACCTTGGACACAAGGAGTTAAAGGCAAGCAAGGCACCAAGGACCAGAGCTATTATTTCTGTTGCAGAGGAAGAGAGATTCCTGTATTGGTTTCCTCTTTTCCTTCCACTCACTTCACTTTTAAAGCAAGTTTGCCAAAGGCTTAGAAACAAAAAAAGTAAAAAAGTGACAGTGCTCAGCTTTTGTTTCTTCCTTTACCAAAACAGTGGTCAGGCAGGTGCAAGAGGACAAGGTCTAACAGCTAGAGAAGTTGAGCAGTCAAAACCAGCCACTCGCTGCATGCTCATCCTCTTGCAGGACTCTAAGAATGCAACCTTTTAAAAAATTCCTATATTTTTAATTAAGATGAATACCATGAAAATGCCTGGTTTTGTGCAATTCAATTTAATTCTAGTTTCTCACAAAGTCTACCTTTCCTACTAACAGACTGTACTGAAGTAAGACACTCTGTTTTCTGGTATAATTCACTTTCCATTTTCTACTTAGTAACAAAATAAAAAAATTCAAAACTGTGAGGAAAAGTACTGCAGCTTAAATAAGGGTATGCAATTAGAGTATCTTCTCCATTACAAAAAATTCTAATCAACCAGTAGGAATCAACCAGTCCACAAAGAGATAACTTGGACTTGCCAATGCAAACCAAGATTGATTTCAGTTATTTAAATCAGTTTCATACCTGTCAATATAAATCTTTATGAAAGCAGTGATTTTGAATCAAACCACTTCGGAGACAGCACCACAACACTTGAAATGCCCAGTCACTACAGCACGAAGGAGACAAATATAGATCACAGGCAGGGAAGACCAGAGAGATGACAGCTGCTACTTGCTTAAATTCCTGGAAGAAGTGCAATTTCACAATACACAGGGCAAGGGCAAGACTTGTGACAAGAGAGAAGCAACAATCTCCTGCCACCCCAAAACAAGCTACAGCAAAATCATGGCTCTTTTCCTGGGTTCTCAACATTTCTGTGAACAAAGCAGCAGCTCGGCAGACTTCAGGGCATCACTAAATGAAGAGGTGCTGCTGGGCTCCCAGTTGTGTGCTCAGCTGTGGGGCAAATGGCACTGAGCAAATTCAGAGCAGCAGCAGAGCATAGGGAGGGTCAGAGCACAGACTGACCAAGAGGAGCAAGCAGAGGTAAGCTGGCCAGGCCGCAGCTAGCACACCCACAGAAGAAATGCAGGTTAGCAACAGCAGGATGTTAGCAACATGTAACAAGTTCCCAGAGGAACAAGATGCGATAAGACTTCGAGCAATCTTCCAGGTAAGGACCTGGCAAAACATCAGCAATTGTCTCTAAGTCAGCACCAAATCTGTATCTGGCCTCTAGGGATGTTAGAATGGAGGCAGAAAAAAATAATTGTCTCCAGTTTTTGTGGATTATTTCTGCAAATGATGCACAGAATGCAAAGAACACCATGTCAGGGCCATATGACGCTACAGTGGAAAGGAGGGGACAGAAAGCTCTGGCTGCAGCAACAGGACTTGGGCTCCTGTGGGACACATGAATACAACAAAGATGTCCTGAACTGGGATGATCCTTATGAGGATATAAAGAAATGAACACTACTAACCTGTAGAAAGCAGCTGGTTCTGCATTGACACGAATCTGCATGTGTTTGAACCTGGAGAACCAAGAAAAACGTAATAATTGTACACAAATGCTCAGTGAATTATGTAGCCAAAACCCTTGTTAGAGGAAACTCATCTTACATCTGTCAGAGCACTGATCTGAGGCAGTTCCTGACAGAAGCACTCAACAGGCTCAAAAAGGCACCAGAGACCAAGGCTTAGCACATGGTGACATCATTCTGGACCAGCTCAATGGTGCATTTGTTTGGTATCCTGTTCTCTGCTCACAACTTCTTAGCCCTTGGTCCTCCTGTTTGCTGCTAGTCCAGCACCTCAACCATACAGAATCACCACAACCAATTGCCCTGGTCTAGGCTCCCTGTGCCACATCAGCTTCTGCTGCTGTCCTTGGATACCCTGAGCCCCGGGGAAAGCTGCAAAGCCCCTGCCACACACCCAGCCAACCCTGGAAAGAAAAGGGAAGTAGGTGAGTTACAGAACATATGGAAAGACTGTGATGTTTTGGGAACTTAATGAAAGTGGTGGTGAAGCAAAAACCTGATTTCTGTCAGTAGATGCAGTTCGTTGAACTTGCATCTGCAGCCAGTGAAGCTCCATGTGGAGTTTTCTTCAACACACCCATAGCAGAGGCACCAGCAATGACCAGGCAAACAGCCTGAAGACTGAGCTGGGAGACTGAACCAAGGGCACTGCCTGCTATGACAAAGGGCAGTGTCCATCAGTACACGGACTTTGGAGCATGATTGCACAGGTAGGTTTCTCTGAGTGGGGGGAAAGTCACAGACAAGAGAAGCAGCTGCATACATAGCACTGAATGGGGACAAAAACGTAGCTTTCACAGGAGCTGCCAAGAAACAGTGAAAACACTGCTCAGCTGCGACTCACCTGAAATCGCCCTCCAGTTTTTCCTGCTGCACAAGTTTAGACACAATTGGGCTCATCAATACTTTGTTTGCAATCGTCCCAATGACAAAATACCCAAAGATGCTCACTGGGCCTAGCCAGCCTGTGCTACAGAGAAGGAGAAAGAGAGGTCAGCTAATAATCCAAGCAAAAGGACATCACTGGTCTCAAGCAATCAGAGACCTCAGCTGTGACCTCTCTCGGCTTTCACAGAGGTTTGGGAGCCAACACTGCACACCCCAGCATCCCCAAGGCAGAATTCCCATTGGAGTGCAGAGACCACTGACCTGTGTGTACAAACATCCATCTGGGGAGTTGTAACATGGGTGCCAGGCTTCAAAAAAGAGCATAGGATAGAGGCATGAAAACATGGCCAGGATGCATCCTTACCTGTGAAAGCACTGGTGGGTGTAGTAGGCCAGCGTGAAAGGTGAGATGACAAGTTTGCTGGCCATGGAGCTGAGCTGCTTGCAGAACCTCTCCACATCCTGGCTGATGCGCTGGTCCCTGCTCAACACAAAGAGCCATGGACACTGTTAAAGCCTAGATGCAAGAACCGGTACTAAACCCCTAAAAGGGAATAAGCCACACTGTTTCACTGTGGGAACTTAGGACAGGGTGAGGTGAACAACCCTGCCTGGGAGGGACCTGCAGCTGTGACTTCTGCTCCCCCATAGGAGACCATTTCCACAGCCCAGCAGGACCAAATTAAGAGGGCCTCCTTGTCACCCAGGAAGAACAGCTCTTGCTGTTACTTTCACCCTGTTCCTTGTATTAATCCTCTGTTTCACTTTCAACTTTGCTCAACTCTGTGCTAAAGGTCTCTGCATTCTTGTCCTTTACTCCTCTCCTGGAACAACCCCCAAACTACAAAACACTGTTGGCTCTCCCCCAGACCTTCAGTACTGGTCCTGCATCTCAGGCATCAGAGCTATCAGGATCGGCTATGGCACAGGCCAGGCCTTTGTCAACTGTTGCATATTTGCAAACACTTCCATCAAAGCCACACTTCCACAGCAGCTGGTCCCTTTGCTGCAAGGAAGAAAGTGCTTCCACTTGCCCTAGCTCCCAAGAGCAGGCAGCAGCACACCAACCCTTCTCACCTCATTGGCAGCAGGCACATGGGTGACAGACCTTCAAGTCCCACCTTTCGCACTGCTGAGCAGGAGTTGCACTTGGGGTAACTAGAAGAATTTCAACGTATTTATTCCCTCGGCACCTCATCTGCCCAGAGTACATGGACAAGGACTTCAGCCTGCTGTGCTATGCCCAAGTGGAAAGGACATGACTGTGAATGTTGGAGACCAGAATAAAGAGGGAGGCTGGACCCCTGGTTATTCTCAGTGCAGATACAACTACAATGACTTTCATCTCAAACCTTTTGCAGCCCTAGAACAGCAATGGATGTAGGTTTGGGGCAGCTCTCACCCTGACTGACCTTACAGTCATAATTTTTTCTTTCTCCTCAGACTGCAATTGTTCCCATAAAGTTGTAATTTAAGCTGTGCTACAGACTCATGGGAGGCTATTGCTTTTTATGAGCTATTAAGCAACATGTAATGAAAACACATAAACATCAATTCAAATGCCCTGTTAGGTGCTGCAAGTGTTTGTATGTCACTTAGAACGCACTCTTCTGAGATGGATGACTCCATGCATCTAACACTCAGCTTGGTTTGCACTGCATAATGGGAGGTCTCTTCATCCCTCTATTTCATTCTCTCTAAGGTGCAGAGAAAAAATTCTCAACAAGAAATTGCAAGCTGAAGAGAATTTTTCCAGTGACACCAAAAAGACACTAAACAATAAGACTGGATGTTGGAGCAGAAGCAAGGTCTTAATGAGAAATACTCCGCAGTATTCTCACATATTTGGTCTGCTAAGGTCAAGAGAGCTGGCTCTATTGCTGCAGAGCAGAGTGACCCAGTTATCTCCTGCATTTCACTGCACAGTGTGAACACATTCCCTGGTTAAAAATAAACTTGAGCAGAATAATCATGTGGTGAGGGGCCTCTGTCCTCCACTTCCCCTCCACCTCCAAGGAAAAAGACAGGCATGCAGGCCAACGCACTGCACTCCCTGGGAAGCACTGCATGCCTTGGTGCATGGATTTTTAACCTCTCCTTGCAACTCCACTACCACTGCAAAACACCATCAGAAATGAACAGGAAAGCCTGGAATCTCAAAACACCTGTTTGGAAAACATTATCCTTTGATTTCTTGTTTTTCAGCAAGTATTTAATAATAACTTCTTTAAATTCCGGAGGGGGGAAAAAAGCCTCTGCCTTGAGATTGGCTCAGTTGGTTAGAGCATGGTGCTAATAACACCATGGGTTCAATTCCTGCATGAGCCATTCACTTAAGAGTTGAACTCAATGATCCTTGTGCATCCCTTCTATCTCAGAATATTCTGTGATTCTGTGACTTCTCACATGATGTCTCATGTAGGATCTTTAACTCTTCAAACTGTATAACTAAACAGCAGTGCCCTGTGTGCAAGGACAGGCTGGAAGGCCAAGGTCCAGACGCAGTTGTGAAGAAGGGAGGTGTTCGACCTTTGCTGTACAGCTCGGGAAGATCAGCAGCTCTGCAGTAAGCAGGACAGTGCTCAAAGCAAACTGGAGAGGGACTTCGGTTGGGGTGGGCTGGGATAAGCAGGGAGGGGCTGAATGCTCCTCCTTCTCTCGTATTTCGAGTCACTCCTGACATTTCCTTCCTAGGAACAGGAAAAGGGAAATGCAGCCCTCATACAGTGCAAAACAAAGCCCTTCCTGGACATTACTCCCAAGGGTTATCAAAACCACTAAAAACCCAACTGAACAGAACTGTGTTCAGCTGCAGACTCTAGTGGTTGAAGTTCAAACAGAACAGGGACTGTCCTAAAGCACTGGCTGTGTGAAGGCAAGGAAGGCACTGCTCTCTGACTTCAGGCCCTTTGTAACGTCACACTGAGTGCCAAGGGTTGAGTTTGCAGACAGCATGTTTTATAATAGAAGTAGGTGCCTGTTCTGATTGATATCCATATTCCTTGCAACTGAAACATCCTACCCCTAAAACCATCACGACCAGCAGTCACAGGAGTTCCCAGCAACAGGTACCACCAGAGCAGAAGAGCGTATTTGTGCCTAAATGGTAAAAGCTTCTAGGGTTCAAGCCCCTAGCCAGAGACACAGAGAAGCCAGGAAAAAGTGCACAGCAGTCCAGGAGAAGCCAAGTAAGATACTGAAAGAAGATACAGGCAGCCTACGGATTATCGATGTCCTCACGCAGCACATGCAGGTTGTAGTAGACCTGGCCTTGGAAGTAGCAGCTGTGGAGGTATTCAGTGAGGGACTTCCTCCAGTTCACATACATCATGTTGCAGATAAACTGGTCGAAGCTTTTTAGCTGGAATGAGGGCAAAGAGAAAGACAGGAAGAGATAAGTGAGAATAACAAGCATTTCCCAAAATGAAACAAAAACAAGCAGTTTGTATTAGTGATCCATCTCACATGTAGCTACCTAGCTGGACGTGGGCAGACTTAGATCCTTTGTGACCAGAATCATGACGGGAGCCAAGGGCAACTTTCCCTTCCTCTCCCAGGACATGCTGAGCCGCTGGTCTTACCGTGGAGTTCACTATGATCAGAGTCACGGCAACGGCAGTCAATGTTTTGAACCCGGAGAAATCTTTGTCCCCTAGGACCTCATAGTACTGGCTGGGGATGACGCCGACCTGGTAAATAACCAGCTGCTCTGGAGGAGGAAGGCAAGCACAGGAAGGAATTGAAGGACAGCGGTGACAAGGCCAAGCGGGAGAGCACGGGGAGCAGCCGTGGGATGCCGCCCCCCCCATCCCACCACCCCGGCTCACCCAGCAAGGCGACACCGAGCAGAGTCAGGAACATGAGGGCGCTCGCGGAGGGCCACCCGGGGAAGAGCACGGCCAGCAGCCGCAGGAACCGCCGCAGGAACAGCCCGTCCAGCCGGGGCACAGCCCTGCAACGGAGGGACACGCGGGGGCCGGCAGTAAGCTCCGGGGTTCCCACCCCACCCCACCCCACCTCCCCTCCGCCGCGTCCCGCCCTGGCCGCGGAGGCGCCCCCAGCCCGGCCTGTCCGGTCCCTCCTCACCGGCCGCCGGTCCCGGCGCCCCCTGCGCTGCCGCTGCCTCCCGCCATCGGACTCGCCGGACCGTCCGGGAGAGCACCGCCCCCGCGGGCACTACATGGGAATATCCATCACCTCTCCTCGCCCGGCATCAGTCCCGCGCCCGCACGGGGGCGGCCGCCGCGCGCTTCCGCGTGCGACGTCACCATAGAGATCCCGCCCGCCAGCACCGCCCCTCCCGCGCGAGACCCGGCGGGAGCGCCCCCTGGCGGGGCACCGCCCTCACCACGGGCACAGCACCCCCTGGCGGCGGCGTGTGAGTTTATGCGGGGAGCGCGAGGCCCGAGGCGTCCCCAGGCAAAGGGGCCCGGCGGGGGATCCCGGGGCCGTGGGTGCGCTCCCGCACCTCCACCCCACCCGCCCGCTCACACAGCCGGCCCGTGGCTGCCGGGCATGCTCCAGGGCCGAGCCACAGGCAGCAGGGCCGCAGAAAACAGGCGCTAGCCCCTCTTCCCCTGAGGAAGGAGCTGGGCAGGCGTGACCTGCTCCCTTTGGGATTCCCAGAGGCTGAGGGACGGTTCCCGTGGGCAGTGGGTACTGTCCACCTGTCACAGGGGACACAAGAAAGGACCAGTACTGGTTCTGCATGTTTGGCTTATTTTGGGGTCGGCAGTGAAGTTTCAGGTTGCTTCGAAAGGACACACAACTTGTGGTGGCCACTGCAGGGGATTCCTCAAGTGGGGACCTTGGGATAAGGCAGCGATTCCCACCGTGATGGTGAATGGCAGTGCGTGCTACCCACTCTCCTGCATGAACTAGAGTGGGGCAGCATGAAACCCCAGGCAGAGGGTAGGGAGGGACTTCAAGAAAGCAGCAATGGGCTGTGCCAGTGAATGGACTCTCTCTGGCTTCTCAGTGATCCCAAGTTTCATACAGAAACCAACAATTATTTTTTTCCAGATTTAGGTTGACTTCTGGTTTCATAACCCGGAATTCTGGGTTGTGAAATGTTTCAAAGCAAGTAAATTTCTGGACAAGTCTGATGATAAGGGATGAGGGATCCTGTGAGCTTGCATCCCTTCCTTACTCATGTGTCTCACACCTATCACTTTGTTCATGCCATTTTTTCTGCAGAGCTTTTGGGATTCTGCACATACCCCTTCCAGTACACCAAGTAGCTTTGTTCTCCTCCCAGTTCCCTGCCTCCCAGCTCTCTTTCTCTTCCCTCATCCTCACCTCCTTCATCTTTGCTCTGCTTCTACCTGCTCAGTGGTCCAGATACTTCAATACACAAAATCAGAGTATGTGCACTCAGGGATGAAAGAAGACACATCAATCTGTTTCCTCAGTAAATGGCCCTGTCCCTAAGCAGGGATGTCTCCTCATCTCCCTCTCACAGCTCTTTTACTGATGGAATTCACAATGCTATCAGTCATACCTAAAGGTTAAGCTTCAGAGGGCAGAGATCAGCCCTCTGAAAACCTGACCTCAGCGATGACTAATTTTTATGTTAAAAGAATTGGGGTTTTTTTCTCAGCTGTTGCATCAGACCTGGGCGACTGTTGCTCCCAGGCAGTCACATCCTCTCACGGTGCAGTACTGCAGCTCTGGCAATTGTGTGTGTCACCTTTTCAGTACTTACTGGGACTGAACTGATTCCTTTGCTCTCTTGTCCACTTTATGACAAGGGGATATTCCTCCCCTTCCCTTCCCAACTGATGAAATGACTTCTCAGCACCAAGGGAGCCAGAGGATTTGAGATGGCCAGAACTGCCTATCCCAAACCCTTCCTCCTACCTGTTCCTCCTCCCTGCCCTTTGTTCTGTCCCTGTCACCCCATGACCACCACCTGATAAAGCACAAGTGAGCTCCCTTTAGTGTATCAGCTTCAGGATTTTTCCTGGGAACCCTCCTAAGTCAGCCAAGATCAAGAACAAAAGAGAAGTGCCTTCTCGGTGACTCTCCATCCCCCCTCGGAGGCTGTGCCCTAGACACTCAGAGCTGCTTTCAGCACAGAAACATTTACATCTTTTACAGCACTCCAGCTCTACTTCTCACGTTTCTCCTCCAGCAAACACCATGGCCATTCCAGTGCGTGTGCCTGGGGGCAGGGCCTGGGAAAGGACTGGGGAATCACAACTCGAGCAGGGGTTTTGTTTGCACTGACGGGCCATATCTCAGCTCCCTGACTAGCTACAGACCCTAGAGAAACCCCTCTGCATTGCTAACCTGTCACTAAAGTGCCATGAATCCAGGGAAGAGAGAGCTGGGCATGGCTTGCTAGGTCCTGGACTCCTTGAAGCAGTGTGAGTGAATTCCTTGTGGTGTTTTAATCCAGCCCCATCTGCTCCTGCTTGCTAGGTGTGAAACGTCCCATCCCCCATCCTCCCCTGCCTGCTGTTAGATGCATTTTTGCCCTGTCCTGGACCAGTGAGAAAAGCCAGATCCTCCTGCACCCCCGGACTCACAGCGGCCCCCTCTGTGTTCCCATTTCCCTGTGGTTCCTCTCTACCTGTTGGCCTGTAGCTGGGATGTAGGGAGAAGCCTGACAAAGCCATTTTTCACTGTCTTTGAGGGGCAAGTGGCTCTGGGTGTTCTCTGAAGGAAGCAGCAGCTATCTGATCACAGAAACACAAAACTGCACCCTTGACTCTGCAGCTTGCTTTCCCTCTTTCACAGGTCTTTCTTAATGCTGCTGGCTTTGTTGCATAATGAAGCACTGCCAGAAGATTATCCCCTTCCTGGGCTTTCCAAAACTGAATCCACCATTTCCTGCTCATGTTTCCAGTTTCTAGTCTCTTCATATGTGCCCATTCTCACTGGAGTTTGCAGCTTCTTCAGTTTGGGATCACCTCCAAGCTTTAGCCCTCTGTCAGATCATTAGTAAGGGAGAGGTAATGAAGGCTGCCATCCTGAGTTTCAGCTCTGTCTGCATTACAGTATGAAATAAACCAACTAATTTTCAGCTGGACCAGCAACCTGAATTAGTTGAGAGAGTCCCTCACACTCCTGTGCCACCCCAAAGCGAAGGGTGAGAATGGGGAACCGAGGGAGACAACCAGCAGAGGCCAGGCTCAGCATGGCTTAAACCTCCATGGAGCCGCACCAGGGGCTCCTGCTGTGATATCTTAATGATTCTGCCTTTTCCTTCTCCACACTCTGTGCCTTAATTAGCCTTTCCCCCTCCTGTGGGCCAAACTGCTCTGCTTTCTTTTCAATCCTCCTTCCTTGTGCTTTGCCTCTAACAGTGTCTTTCTACTGTACACTTCAAAGGCTTTTCTTGTTGCATCTCCCCCATGCTGGCATTGGCTGGTAACACCCCAAAGCAGCCTAGGTCTGCCATGAACTCATAGCCATTGAAACGGCTTGAGGCCCTTTGGATCTGGGTAAGAAGAAGGCATGGGGGACGAGAGGTGAAGGATTTTCATCATTTCACCTATGAGAAGAATTATTAGTAACACAGGAAAAACGAGGGAGGAAGCAGACCCCTCCTCCACCCACCCTCCCCAGTGGAGAGCCCGCTGAGGGCAGAGTGCTTTTATGTGCAAGTGGGAGGGAAGGAGAGTGTTAGGGCTTCAGAGGGAAATGCTTTGATCTTGACTTTGAATCTCCTGCAGTTCCCAGCTCTCCCCCACCCCTCCCACCCATGGCCAGGACCCCAGGATGTGGCCAAGACTCCTGGTCCTTGCTTGGTGCTTTGGTACTGCACTTGGTGCTTCATGTTTAATTTCCTCCTATGTGCCAGGGAGCCTCATGGGGCATCGTGAAACAAGTGCACAGTGCCAACACCAATTTTAAACCTTTCCTCCAATCTTACAGAGTGGGAAGGAAGAGGGAGGCCAGCTGGACAGAAGCCAGAAGGCAAAACAGTCCCGAGCTGAGCAGAGGTGAATTAGAGATGGGACCTACTGTCAGGGCTCTGGTATCCCAGGGCAAGGGACAGGCAGACCTAGCTCTCCTGTGCACTCATGATGCATTACACTGGTCAGTGCTGAACATCAACCAGAAGATTAACTGGGAGGCAGTCACCATTAGGAGAGGGACACGGTACTCTGGGTAACTCTCAGGAGACAGCACTGAGGTTCCCTGGTCCCACAAGAAGGGATCTTAGGTCAGAGAGAGAACAGCATTGAGGGCTCTGAGTGTTCTTTAAAGGATGGGAAGGAGGCAGCACTGAGGGGTGCTGGAGGAAGGGGAATGACCCTGACCTCTTAGTCACTTCAAAAGAGGAGGGCAACAGGATCTGGGAGAGACTTAGGGGCGTCAGTCTCTTGTCCAAGGTGGCCAGTTCCCCACTTCCCTTGGGAGATGAAACTCCCAGCTGGGCCTTGCCACCAAACTGTCCTAAAGTTCAGGCCACATACTTCTGCCCACTGTGCCGCCCCTCTGTCCTCAGTCACGTGGCTGAAGTCACTCCTGTAAACTGCTTTCGCTCACTGAGGTTGATGCACTCCATGTCACTGCCTGCCAGTTCTTACTTCATCATCACCAAATAGAATTTCTCCTCACATCGTCTCCTATTATAATTCAATCACTCCAGCAATATTGCTCTTGGCTGAAAACTCCCTGCAGTTTGTCACTTTCCCTCTCGGTGTGATGTGAGCAGAACTGACTAAAATCCACTGTCTGCTGGTGTCCAGCACTGCCCAGGGCATGCACAGACAGAAGGGTGCCTAACAGGACCTCTACACAGAGCCCAACAGTCAGTCTCTCTGATCATCACTTTAAGGGCTCCAGCACAGGCATGAGGTAGTGGGTTCAGAGGTGGTTTCAGGTCTGGGAATGAGAAGTACCAGATGATATGAACCCCGAAACAGGACTTCTGTCATTCACCTTGAACAGGTTACTACAAAAATTGGTGCACACTCCATGTTTTCCAGTTCCTGTTGGGTACAATCACACCAGAACCACTTGACATTCCTTTCCCCTAAGACTGGTGGGTATATTGCAGCTGTAGCAACCCTATTTCTGTTGCCAATTCAGACTGCAAGCTCTGTTCATTGCTTTCCTTGTGGAGCAATGCCAGGCACAGGAGAGAAACCCAGCCAAGACAGCAGGCACTTAGGACCCTCACGCTCTCATTTCTGTCAGCCCCTCAGCAGTCTCAGCTCCCCTGACTTCTCAGAAGGATGACATCACTCAGACAGCAGTGCTCTGGAGGGAGAA